CTGAAGCAAGCAAGCCTCATGTTCAGTTTAAGCTGCCTGGCTGCCGGCCGCCATCTTGGCTGGCAGTTAATTTGCGTATCCCGCCGATTAGCCAATGGGAAGGGTAGCGGTCATACGCCAATTACCATGTTTCTCTTTTATTAGATAGGATAGGATATTTTTCGGTTCGTTTTGCATGTAGAGTATATTTTTCAGTAAAAGAAAACGCACATGGTAAGTGTGGGCACTTTGTTTCTTTCCCTTCCCAGGGAATTGCCTCTGGAATTACAGGGAACATTTGAAAAGGAGGAGGTGGATGTTAAAGTTGAAGATAAGAAACATGAAGTGTGTGTGGCAACGAAGCCTGTGTTCCAGCCCTTCTCAGGACAGGGTCACCGACTGGGAAGGTGAGTGGGCTCATGATTGTAGCAGAGGCTGGACTAACATTCAGCCCATCATTATTTTACCAGGGAGACCACAGACATGGAGCTTATCATTTCTCCCATTGCAAATGGAATTTTTTATTAACCCTCAACCAAGGACACAGAGAGAGAGAGAGAGAGAGAGAGAGAGAGAGAAACATCAATGTGAGAAAGAAATATAGAAACATTGATCAATTGCTTCTGTATGCTCCCCGATTGGGGATCAGACCCACAACCCAGGTATATGCCCTGAATGGGAATCGTACTAGCAACCTTTCGGTGCACAGGACGATGCTCTACCAACTGAGCCACTTCACCTAGTGCAAATGAAATTTTTAATGTTAGCTTTTGTGAGGACTCCTCTAAGTCATATTTACCTTCGTGTGAATTAGCATATGCTGTCACTACAGTAAAAAAATCTTGGAGGCTTGTTTGGTTTCATCAAATCAAAAGGGCATGGCTTATTGAGGACATTAGGCAAAATTGGATGGATGAGTCGTTTCCTTTCTCCCTTACACTCACCACTTGAGCTTTGCCATTAAAGTTAGCATGCAAACACTAGCTTTTGAATATAGGGTTCCATTTTACACATACCACTGCTTTCAACATTGTACTGTAATCAATATCTGAATTTTGAGGTAATAAAAATGAAAAATGTCTGATAAAGTTAGCAGTATTAAAACCTTTATTTGTTGTTGTTGTTAATGAAAATAAGCTTTATGTCCTAGCCGGTTTGGCTTAGGGATAGAGCATCGGCCTGCAGACTGAAGGGTCCTGAGTTCAATTCTGGTCAAGGGCACATGCCCGGTTTTGGACTTGATCCCCAGTAAGGGTCATGCAGGAAGCAGCCAATCAATGATTCTCTCTCATCATTGATGTTTCTATCTCTCTCTCCCTCTCCCTTCCTATCTGAAATCAATAAAAATATATTTTAAAAAAATTAAAAAAGAAAATAGGCTTTATTACATCAAGTAATAAATATATAAAAAGATGCAGTGATAGTTATTTTCTTCCAGATGTTTATAGTATCAAAACCTTTATGCCGAAACCGGTTTGGCTCAGTGGATAGAGCGTCGGCCTGTGGACTGAAAGGTCCCAGGTTTGATTCCGGTGAAGGGCATGTACTTGGGTTGCGGGCACATCCCCAGTAGGGGATGTGCAGTAGGCAGCTGATCGATGTCTCTCTCTCATCGATGTTTCTAACTCTCTATCTCTCTCCCTTCCTCTCTGTAAAAAATCAATAAAATATATTTAAAAAAAAAACAAAACCTTTAATTATGCCCAGTTGGTGTGGCTCAGTGGTTGAGTGTCAACCCATCAACCAGGAGCTCAGGGTTCTATTCCTGGTCAGATCACATGCCCAGATTGCAGGCTCAATCCCCAGTAGGGGGCATGCAAGAGGCAGCCAATCAGCGATTCTCTCTCATCATTGATGTTTCTAACTTTCCCTCTCCCTTCCTCTCTCTGAAATCAATTGAAAAAACACACACCTTTAATTATTTTCAGATTTTGCAGTCTTCTTATTTTTTCCTCACCAGAGGATATCTTTCCATTGATTTTTTTAGGGAGAGTGGAAGAGAGAGGGAAAGACAGAGAAACATTGATGTGTTTAGAGAAACACGTCGATTGGTTGTCTCCTGCACAAACCCCAACTAGGGTCCAGGCTGGTAAGGAGCCTGCAGCCAAGGTACGTGCCCTTGACTGGAATTGAACCCGGGACCCTTTGGTCCACAGGCCAACACTCTATCCACTGAGCAAAACTGGCTAGGGCTGCAGTCTTCTTTATATCTATGCCTTATAGCAGAATATGCAAAGAGGTTAGATGTGGGATCACTTTTATTTTGATGATTTCTCATATGTTAATTATCAAGATTGGTAAGGTGTATACACATTCATGCATACATATAAAAATATCCAGATGTGATTTTCAGAATGCTGAAAATATATTTTTATACCATTGGATCTACTTTTTAACAGAATAATAGTGTGCATTTGGTAAAAATGAATGACATATATATGCATCTTACTTTGTTGTCTGGATTTTTTTAGTGCCACACCAAAAATTATTTCTAAAACAAAAAGTATTGAAGTTGAGAAGAAAAATAATTTGCCTACTGTCCCACTAAACAACCTGGAACCCATCACTAATATACAGATCTGGTTAGCCAGTGGGAAAAGGATCATTCAGAAATTTAACATGTCTCATAGGTGAGTCTTTCATTTCATTATTTGTTTGATTTTTTTCCTAATTTTAATTTTTATCTCTTCTATTTACTTCAGTCAAGAGTTGCATTTCTTTATTATCTTAGTGTGATTATAGAGATCACAGTATACATTTGTTTTTTGTTTTGTTTTTTAATCCTCACCCGAGGATTTTTTTCCATTGATTTTTTAGAAATTCCATTGACTTTTAGAGAGAGTAGAAGAGAGAGGGGGAAGACAGAGAGAAACATCGATGTGAGTGAAACACATTGATTGGTTGCCTCCTGCATGAGCCCCAACCAGGAAGGAGCCTGCAACCAGGGTATGTCTCTCCCATATATACATATATATATGTATGTATGTTTATCGATTTCAGAGAGGAAGGGAGTGGGAAAGAGAGATAGAAACATCAATGATGAGAGAGAAGCATTGATTGGCTGCCTCCTACACACCCCTTACTGGGGATTAAGCCCACAACCTGGGCATGTGCCCTTGACCAAAATCAAACCTGGGACTCTTCAATCCGAAGACCAATGCTCTGTCCACTGAGCCAATCAGGCGAGGGCGAGTTCCTTTCATCTTTACTGTTTTTCTTCCTTTTTATAGTTATATTGTTTGCCATAAGCTTTAGCCATTAGTTATATAATATTTGATATCCAAATAAATACAAGGACCACATCCTGGACTTTTTTGGTATCCTGCACAGGTTTAACAAAGTGGCATTTTTGAATTTTAGTGAATTGATTGGGAGAATTTTGTCTTTCGTGATGTGCCATATTTCATGAACTCTGAGTTGCGCATTTTTTTACGTTTAGCGCCTCTGAAATGGGGATGCATCCGTTGCTGGCCACATGGCAATCATGTCACAATAGTCTTTGCCTTAATATCGTCCTCAAAGCGTGCAACACAAATATCAGACGAACAAGAAGCACCCTAGAGACAGTAGCAGAGCACTTCTTAGAATAAATTCTGTGTCACCAACACACCTGGTGATTCCGAGGGTGGGTATTACGTGGAGAAACATGTCCAGGATCCGGGTATGACCAGTGTTCATTAGGAATGACTCTACCATTTCATTGTACTTATGGAAGCACTTGGGTGATTTGTATGAAATTATGTTAAAATTGCTCTTTCAATAAATATTAAAAAGAATTCTTCTAAGTGTTAAGAAAACACTTCGTCACAATCTGGATTTTTTTTTTTTTTTTAGTAACACATAAAATGATGTGTTTTGAAATCGGTGGCATCTTAGTTTTGATGAACTGCATATGCGCTCTCCCTCTCTAAATACACATACGTGTGTAGGTGAACATAACTTTGAGCTGCCTTCAAGGTTGCAATTATTATGTTACTTTGTGTTCATTATTCCAATGTAAATTCTCCCTGCACTGAGTGAAGGATTTTCCTAATTGGATTTGAAGCACAGCATGACCTGGTATTTAAAAGAAACCTAGGTCTGTCTGTCTGTCTGATCCATTCAGAGCTAGGTATGTAGATATGTCAGCTTTCTATTATAGAAACTTAGAGATATACACAAAAGCAAAGAGAACATAATGACCTATCATTTAGTTTCCACTGAACTATTTCTAAGCAAACCCCAGACTTCATATAGTTTCATATGTAAATACTTCAGTATGTATCTCCAATAGATAAGTACTCTTTAAAAATGTAACCATAGCCCTGACTGGTTTGGCTCAGTGGATAGAGCGTCGGCCTGCGGACTGAAGGGTCCCGGGTTAGATTCCGGTCAAGGGCATGTACCTTGGTTGCGGGCACATCCCCAGTAGGGGCTATGCAGGAGGCAGCTGATCGATGTTTCTCTCTCATTGATGTTTCTAGCTCTCTATCTCTCTCCCTTCCTCTCTGTAAAAAATCAATAAAATATATTTTAAAAAAGGTAACCATAGTTAAAAAAAATGTAGCCATCATACCCTTTCCACATCTAAGATGATGAATAGTAATAATTTCCTACTGTCCCCAAGGGTCCACCTTTAAAAGATGGCCCCAGCTCTGTCATTATAATTTGAATGTTCTATGTATTCACACAGCCAGATATCTTCACAGGTTACTACTTTAAATTGGCTCGTTCAAATTTTCGTAATAGTTGGTGCCATTTTACAGGATAAGCCACATCAAAGACTTCATTGAAAAGCACCAAGGATCTCAGAGAAGTCCTCCCTTTTCCCTGGCCACGGCTCTCCCGTACCTCAGGCTGCTAGATGAAGCTCTCACGCTGGAAGAAGCAGACTTACAGAACGCCGTCATCATCCAGAGGCTCCACAGAACCATGGAGCCTTTTAGAGGACTTTCCTAACATCGACCTTTGACACACTAAGTGGAAAGTTTGCAGAGAAGTGATGGTTCGTAAGTGAACATGCAAACCGAAATGGGGGGAAGTCAGGTTTGCTGAACTTTTGGTTTGAGACCTATCTAACTCCCTCCAGATGGGAAGACAAGTAAGTACAAGTTAGGAGAGGAAGCTACGACGAAACTGTATTCAGTGCACTGTCTCCCAAAGGCTACTCAGAAAAATATACTTCTTTTCAAATACCAGTGATTCAACATAAGACAGACTAAAGGACTATATCATTTAGTATCTTAATGTGGTATAAATTAGCAAACATGTTCACAGCGTCACTCCTTTAAACATCATTCCAAACAGCAGTGATTTACTCAAATGTTAGCTTGGCTCAGAGTTTTTAAATAGCAATACATTAAAAGTTACACATGGCAGGTTAAAAGCATCCGTGTCCTTATTTTATACCCGAGATACAATCAGAATGCTGGAAGGAACTGCTTCCACCACAGCCATGCCTAAACCTCGAAGTGTTCTCAGTCTGCATTCTCTAAGGCAAGGTACACTCAAACATTAAGTTGGCAATAGTATCTAGTATTTTCAGGTAAGAATAAAATTCTGTAGCTTAGTATAATGTCAGTATTAATCTGTCTACTCACATTTCTACATTTTTGAGAAGTATAATTTTTTTAAATATATATTTATTGATTTCAGAGAGTTAGAAACATCAATGATGAGAGAGAATCATTGATTGGCTGCCTCCTGCAGGCTTCCTTCTGGGGATCAAGCCCACAACCTGGGCATGTGCCCTGACCAGGAATCGAACTGTGACCTCCTGGTTCACTGGTCAATGCTCAAACACTAAGCCAGGCCAGCCAGGTGAAAGTATAATTTTTTAAAAAATTATGTTCTCTCCAGGAACCTCAGTTCACCCCCTATTTTATTTTCTTTCAGAAATTAGGGACTTGTTCTTAGCTAACATTCGCAGTATGTCATTCATTTGAGACTGCTTACTTAGAATCTCATGTTGTGTTTGTCACACTGCTAATTAACATTTTTTAATGCCTTATGTCTTGTATGGTTTTCTATTCCATACGTTAGAGTCAACCTGTGTATACCTTCAAGGGTTATTTATTACATTCTGATGTCACCAGGAAGACTTGCTTTGTTTCTTAGACTTTACAATCAGTTAGACTTCGATAGCCACTGTCCGATTGCATCCCCCTGTCCAAAAATAAGTTTGGGAAGCCTTTTTGCAAATGATCTGTTGCATCATATTTAAAGTGAGAGATACACTGAGTGTGCCAAGGAACTAAGCAGTCATGCCCGTCAGCAATCATGTTCACTGGGCACTGGACGTCTGCTGGGAGGAGCAGGTCTTAAACTGTTTGGTCTCCAGACCTTTTGTTTATATGGGTTATAAATCTGTTAAAAATTTAAGAGTTACACATATTTATTCATTTAAAAATAATACACATGTAAATATAAACACTTTTATGAAAAATGTCTATTTTCCAAAACATTAAAAATAAGATTTCGTGAGAAAAGTGGCAGTGTATCCCATTTTTTGCAGATGTCTTTCCTGCCCGCCTTAAAGAGACAGATGGCCTCTCCTGTCTGCTTCCACGTTCAATCTGTTGTGCTATCGCACATCGTGTGGCCTCCAGGAAACGCTACTGCACGTTCATGAGAAAGTGAACAAAACAAATAACGTCTCAGTTTGATCAGGAAAGTAGTTTTGACCTTGTGGACCTGAAAGCCATTCTGATAAAGCAATGATTTGCCGTGATTCTCAAGCCCTAGTGTAAGGATCACTCTGGAAGCTTTCCAAAAGGCCTATTGCTGCCACTCACCACGCACATCCTGATTCATCGTGTCTGGGGCGAGTCCAGGATCTCTGCATTTTTTATCGTATTTGATTCTTAGGTAGGTAATGGCAGGAAACCCTGCACCGAAGCTTCCCCTTAAGAAAATAAAGCCTGGGGGGTGAGGACACATTTGTAATACCTTAACTAATAAAAAAAATAAAAATAAAAAGCCTTGTGTGCACCATGGACAGTGGAAGACCCTCCACTGAAATGGGGGGCCCTCTTAGTTTTATCTTTGTCCCCCACAGTTTGTTCTGAGACTGTTCCCCTTTAACTCTGAACTAACCATGCCATAAACCTGTACTTCGTCTTCTATGAGCACAGCTGAGATTCGGCTGGAACATGTAAATGAGGTTTTTATCAAAGGCTCAGGAATAACGAAAGGGAAGTACACCCGTATAACTAGATGGCCCGTTTCATAAGCTCTATCTTCTGTTGGAGGAACATTTGAAGAATGCTTTCTTTTAGAGACCTGTCTTTTTACTAGGAAGGGAGGGAGGACAAAGGAAAACCTTCTCTTTTTGTTATTTGCTCTCAGAAATGAACAGGTATATAATAGAAAATAAATATTGTCAGTCATGTTTACAGCTGTGGCAGAGCCCTCTAGTGAAACAATGGCATTCTTGACAATAATGAGGGGACAGTAAAATCAATGAACTTCTCTTTCAGATATAAAATAACGTAAGGTGGTTATTAACATTTTCAAGAATATGTATTTATTAACATTTTCTAGAATATGTACGAAAATGTTTCATATAGGCCTATCATGAAGCATTTTATAATTTTTACTTGCATAATTATAGTCATTATGTGATTCTCCATATATTTCTATAAAGGGGCCTCTTGGAAATATTTGTCTTGTATCTATAGAAAAGCCTCCTTCGTGGATGTTCCCATTTATAATTATTTAACCAGAAGACACATAGGAGTTTTTCTTGTGTGTCCAGGTAGAATAGACCCCAGTGGGAAGTTTCTATAGGGACAGACCCATCACCAGCAGTAACCTTCGTTTTTGTAACTGTAAAAACTTTCACTAATGTGGATAATATTCTCAGAGGTTTTCTAAAATGAGAATCATCTGATAAAGCTTTTTACCTGAAAGTTTCATGTTCTAAAGTTGTTAATTAAATGTGTAGAATATTCAAAACATGTTGATTTTAGAAAACATAAGCTGAATTTATTAAGGGAAGGCAACCTGGCAATTAAGCATATTAGGTGTGGAATATAATTTGACCTAAAGTCATTTCAAAACTATTGTCAGTTTCTTGAAAATCATTGCTAGGGTTAGTATGTAGAAGTACATTTCTAATTTTGCAGATTCTAATTTATTGGCTAAATTACTATGCATTTTCCAGGTTATAACGGTGATCTTATTTTATATACTTCTCTCCTTCAGAATACTTTTTATTATGTTTCATTGTGTTGAAAATATGGTATGTATGCATCTATTTTAGTGCCTTAAAGTACTTTGAAAGCAATCTTTTGCTAAAGGCTAACAAACTGTTGTCTTAAGGGTGGAATACTATTTGTTAAAAGGATCTGTGAAATAATTCATACTTGTTTGTTATAAAGTGGTTACATATAGGTGCATTTGTCATTTTTATTTGGCAAATTCATTCACTTTGAGAATCTACAAATATTTATTAATTGCCTTCTGTTTGCCAGGTGCTTGAACCAATGTTACTTTCACTTAATACTCAGAAATGTTAAAGTGTGATATTTTCTATACTGACTCAGTGTTGGTGTTTGTTTGTGAAACCATCCTTGTGACCTGAGTTGAACTAGCATGAGGACTCCTTGGTAGGACTTGCTTCTTTGTTCTTTCTCTAACTACAAACCATTTAATTAAAAACTAGTTCAGCATAGTACATCTTCAAGTAGCAGTGGTTTACTCCGTAGACAAATATTTGACTTTTGTTGTTTGCTTTAAATGTATTTTTGCACAGGTAATTCATATAGATTATAGAAAATTATAAGATGCAGATATTCTTAAATGATCTCTAAGTCACCTGTGTTACCATAAAAACATTCAAACCTGTAAAGAATTTTTGTGAGTTTATTTGAGCCAGACTGTCGACATGCGCCGGGAAGCAGAACCTCAGCGAGTTGAGATAATGGATTGAGACAGTGCTCCAGAGAACGGCGTTTCCTCTGTGTTTACACACCGCAGTCACAGGAGGGGGGGGTGGGATACAGGAGCTCCACTGGTGCCCTGGACTAGAGGCAGGAGAAAGCAAAGGGGGGAAACCCCTGGGATTGAATATAAAGTAAAATGATGGACACATACTTAGGTGGGTGCAGGAGCAATTAACATGATAATAATGAAGGAATTTGTGGTATCTGTCCTGGCACATTAGGTTGTGCCCCAAGGGTTCCAGAAAAGGGGAAGTTACAAGTTACCCAGACATTTCAAGGGTCTGTTATCACAGATGCAAAAAGACAGGCCCAGTTAAGGTAAAGGTTGACCTTGTCAGTGAAGATACTGGCCTAGGATGTAACTGCCCACCATAACTGCTTTAGTTAAAGTATAATTTCAGACCATCCTTTGTGGTTACCTTAGGTCTCTGACTTTGCAAGACCGCCATGCAGGCCTCCCCTGAGCCTGTCAGGTCAGCATGTGGCTTCTTTCTTCCACACCTGTTACTCCACCACTCAAAGATAACCATGGATAACATTTTGGTGTGCATCCTTTCGAACATTTTTAAGTGTATCAATCTTAATTTTGTTTTAATTAAAAAGCAGGCTCTTTGGTTATTGTTATCTAACATATTTGTTATCTAACATATTGTTATCTAACATAGCAATTTATTGAAATCTAACATATTTGCCTTTAACTGAAAACTGCATTAGGAATATACCATTAAGTTGAAGAATAGCTGTTAGGAACAAATGCTATATATATATATATATATAACATTTTTATTGATTTCAGAACGGAAGGGTAAGGGAGAGAGAGATAGAAACATCAATGATGAGAGAGAATCACTGATCCGCTGCCTCCTGCACACCCCACACTGGGGATTGAGCCCGCAATTCAGGCATGTGCCCTGACCAGCAATCAAATTGTTCCCTCCTGGTTCATAGGTTAACAACCACTGAGCCATGCCAGCCGGGCCAAATGCCTTTTATGTTAATTATATTTTTGTGCAAAAAAGAAAAAGGAGAAGGAAGTTTGTTTTTTATCCACGTCAAAGTTGAGGTGTAGAAAATGTAATGAATGACTTGCTTTATTTTTTTTAATACATTTTATTGATTTTTTAAAAATATATTTTATTGATTTTTTTACAGAGAGGAAGGGAAAGGAATAGAGAGTTAGAAACATCGATGAGAGAGAGACATCGATCAGCTGCCTCCTGCACATCCCCCACAG